GACTGGAATTTGGGTCGTGTCTTACGTTCAAAATTTCCCTCAAATGGTCAATATAATATAATATAATTTCCACCACTTTTGGTCATGAGAGAATTCAACGTGAAATACCGCATTTATAACTCTTTCTCAATTTGAAATTCGGTTTCTTCTTGGGTGTGGGGTGGGATGTTATTCCTTACTCTTATTTAAATATCGAACTCTGCTCATACAGTCACTGCATTCAATAGAAACCAACCCAAAATGATTTCTCCACACAGACTCAGTATTTACCCTCTAAACAGGAGTTTATATTTTCTAGACATTGCCATTTGGAGTGTCGACCCTGGGCCTCCAGGCATTCGAAGCCTTCACTTGACAAGTTTACTCTTGTTGAGATTCGCCTTGGTAATAAGAATCTGCAGTGAAACTGATCACTATTTAAAACCCTTCATTTTCAAAACATTGGCCCATACGTTATGTTTATGTGTCATTCTAAAACAGTGCACTTGGTCATATTCGGTAATAAAAGCTATTTTACAGTTGAAAATACAGTAAGTACGTAATATTGTAACCGCATGTGTCTCTGCCTAACATAAATTATTGTCTCTTTAAGCCCCACCTAATGACGCAGAATAAAATTATGTTTACTTTTTCTCACAAGGCATCTTAAGGTCAATATGGGAGTGTGTTTACGCGGTTTTCCCCAAAAATGAAACACTGAAATAAGGTACCCCTTTTTAACTTGATTAGCATAATTAATATAATAGCTGGTGATTCAAACAAAAGATATGCCTTTATGAAAATCCGATGAATGATATCGCATACATCTAAACCAACTGTCCACCCATTCCTGTATTTCCATTGGAAACCACTTTGTTAATCATTAATAAATGAAGTTATTAATGAGCTTAATTTGAAAAACGACTTTGCAACTATCGGTTCTTAAAATGGCAGAAGACTTACCTGATTGGTTCTAGAATGAATGTTAGTGCATCTAAATGGCCTTGATGAATGAGCCAATAAAATGCAGCTTATGGTACGCCATTGAATTCTAATAATTATGAACGTGGCCTAAATTTACTGGCTCACAAAAGAAATAATGGAAAAAATATATATAAATTAAAGAGCGAACTTACAACATGGCTAAAAATGACAGTCGCTTTATTTCGAGCCATGGAATGCTCTTTTTCCGTATTCACGGAAAATATGTTGGCAATACACAAATTCTCCTTGCTTAAGTCAGTCAAATCTATTCCATAATAATTTGAAGGTTTCAAGTGGAAACTAAAGACGCATTGTATTTATCAGTATAAGGAGCAGAGTTATCAACTTTCGATTATCGATTGAAATAATTTGAGAAAGAAAAAATAGCCTATTCTACGAATCTTTCTCTTCTACTAAAAGAGTATTACTGATAACATCTACTCATTCATATACTAGTAAAGAAGTTAATTCCGGGTCTTTAGGTAAACCATCGTGTGGCTGTGAAAATGGTGTGTTGCAACCAACCGAAGTTAAAACTTAAGCAAAAAGAGTTGTATGATTTCTTAGGTTTATGGAATATTTAAGTAGAGGAAATTACTGACTACCAAAGACTCTAACCACTACACGGGCTGTGAATGAACCCCACCTTTCAGAAAGTGGAATATTCCCAGAAGCACTGCCATTTTATTATCATCATCCAGGGTAATTGCAACGTTGACCAACTTTCTTTAAATTTCTAACCAAAAATGGAAATTGGCAAGTTTAAGCCCTCTTGGTTTGAACAGTTTCTAACTGTCTTTTATTTTAAAAAAAGACCGAAGATAACGGATTCAACAGCACCCTCCAGAAAAATATTTATTAAGACGTTTGAATGCACACCAACGGAAATAGTTGGTGCGGACTTTATTTATATGTGATTTTCACCGCTGAGGTAAAATAAGGCTAGAATACTGAATAAGCGGTGGAATAGTAATATTTCTTTATCAAGCGGAACATATTTCATACAAGGTCCTTGAATCAAACTGGTTCTTGGGATATTCTTGGGTTGTTCAACTATTGTTTTATTAATGAGCAATCAAGGTTACCCAAAGCTACAAATGAACCCCAGCAATTTCTAAAAAGAGACGAAGAGGCGGGGGTGGGGAAGGGGGGTGGCACAATTAATCCAAAAGTCCTTTTGTTTCTGCGTAATTTCAGCAAACTTAAAGGAGGTACCCCCAGGACTACGTATTGTCGTGCAATTAGCAGCTACACGCTGGACTTTACACCGTCGTTCGGAAAAGACGTGCGTAAGAAAGACAAGACTGCCATTCCTCCATTCCCATCATTCCTGTTACATTTCCGACTGACCGAAAGAGTAGGCAACCTCTTTCGATCTAAGCCAAGTGTAAAGCCTTGCACTTAGTTAGGGAGGAAAGAAAGGCCATATTTGAGTAGTACATCTTTTATACTTATCCCCCCCCCCCCCAGGTTAGCAGTAGGTGTGTATCGTTATACCAGTCAAAAATAGATTAAACATTACCAAAACTTTGAAGTGTAAAGCAGAGCCAATTAAACACTAGTGATGGAATATGTTCTAAGTTGCTAGATATTTCGTTCTTCTATGTTCAGTCACGTGAATGAAATCTCATTTGCGTTACTGCAGATAGAATACACAAGTTAACCTCTTGATAGAAGGAAGAAAAGTCATTTAGTTGGTGCAAGTAACGAGATTAGGTAGGTCCCAGTAAATAATCATTTAATTTGACTCGAATAGGAAAGACGTGATAAATAGCATGCCCACCGTAACAATGAAACACATATAAAAGTGTGTGCAATTGACTGCTGTCACTACTACTACTAAATTCCATTGTATTCTACTACATTGTCAAGACGCGTCTTAAATCCACGAGTACTTAAGCCGACCAGACGTAATGATGACGCCATAAATACTCAATCATTAGGAAAAACCATGAAAATTCTGCGTTGGCGCAATTTGGATCATCAAAAATGGTGCGTTTGACGTGTCATGCACGGCGTAGGCATACAAACTGAGGTAATTTAACTTGAGACATTAGAAGGCGAAATTAGTGAAACAAAGGAGGATATCACGTGTGTATAGACATGATCAGTATGTATACCATCTGGGAGAATGCAGAAACGGTTATCAATCGTTGCAATATTATACCCTCAAGTTAACACAAAGACTGTCAAGAGTTGTCATGCAAAACCCAAGATCACAGAGTCCAGACCATTTGCAAAATTGAAGAAAATGAAAGAAATGAGTTTTGGGGGAGGGGGGGGGGGTTAAAAATGTCTTAACCGCAAATGCAGATAGGAGGAAATCTTGTTCAAAAGACTGTAACTTCCAAAGTTACTTTCCTCTTTTCATCAGCAAAGATCATCTGTACAGAAGCCCCTCCCCAAATCGAATCGTGTCCCCAGAACAAGCATTTGCTCAAATGGACAAAACAGACGCGATTGCCCATTTGCATATCAAATTCCTTTCTATGAATGCTTATAAAAGAAGTAGAAAAAATGAAAGTATCTAATTTTTAAAACCGATAAATATTTCTCGTTAGTCCTGGATAAGGAATACCAGTCCAATTTAGCGCCTCGAATGCGAACTACAATCGTGCCAAGATAAAAGAGACGAGTTGTGACGTGCCGAGACTTGCTGAATCGGATATTGAAGGTTGTGGTGAACACCTTTAACACTTGCCGTAAACAATTTTGAGTGCTCAGTCATTGGTTAATCGTAATTGCCTTCATTTACTTCCGTTAATTAAAGATACAATATTAATTTCCCTTCCTATGTTTCCAAGAGACTTCCTTTATCTTGGCCACCCACTATTTTAATGACTCGCGTTTAAGTATTTTAAACTTAATAAAATTAATTGCTAACATCTAACAAAAAAGACTATTGTAAAGGGAAAGCAAAATCTTGAATCATGGGGAATTTACCACCACCACCATTTCTTTAAACTTGATAGACAGTCGTAGATGTACTATTTTTCTACTTTCAGAATAATAAAAATTTATTTTTCATTATGAAAACAGAAAGGAATGGAAACCCTTGCCTAGGAAAGCATACAGTACAAATTTCTCTTTACATTAAGTTGCGTTTCTCCCCAGGTCGTTTGGAAAAACAATAGTGGTTTGCATTAAAGCAAAGAGGTTTCTCTTATCAAATATACGAAATGGGAGAACGAATACACTTTGAGAAAATGTCAGAAAATGAAAACACTGTCACTTTCTCACAAATTGTAATCGAACAAAAATTAAGCATTTAAGATTAGGCACCATATTCTACAGATTGCAACCAGTCTTCTAGGATTCAGACCCATGAATGCACTAAATAGTCCCCTCATTACGAATAACCTGATTTTAATGTGAAGGAAGTGGTAAGCTCCAACCGTCCGATCAGTTGAGTTGGACATCCTGATGCGTATGTTCCAACTACCAGTTCAATCTAATTGTTGAAGGACATTAAAACCTGGAAATATAACCATAAAAATGTAGTAATGAAAATTTGAATCGAGAATTTCGAAACATCAAGGAATAAACTCTTGAAGAAAAGAGGACCCAGTCAATCTTTTAACCGATCTCTTTATGCAAACAACAAATGTGAACTTCAAAGCTGTCAATCTTAGAGGATTCCCCATAACTATTAAATGTGAACAAATATGATCCAAATTAATATAATAATATTAAGGGGGTTGACTAACTTGTGATCCTTTTCGTAATGAACAAATCCAATATTAGCATTTCGGGAGACACTTTCACCACAAACGCCCTGTTTTTTTATGCGTGCAGGTGGCCCCTGGACTTGGGGTTGAGGGGAAGGCACCAAGGGAATTTGGATGGATCTCCCCTCTCCATAATCCACGAATTCATTAATAACGCCGGTAGTTATATTACCATCAATAATAGGATCTGCAGTAGAAGCATGATTGGTACTATTCGCAGGAATATACTTCTGATCCAGAACTGATCTCAACTGATCTACATCACGATTTCGATCACCAACTAACCGTCGTAGACTCTTGACCTCTCCCGTTAAACGGGCAATCTGAGCGTCTCGAATGGCTATCTCCTCTCGTAGTTGAGATACGAGATTCTGAACCGCCTCTATGGGTTGTGGTTGCCTGTCAATGAGGACGCAACCTGCGGAATTGGTCGGAGGGACTGCAGATCTTAGAACGGCCCCGACGGTTGTCAAGGCGGACCCTATTGACGCAGTTTGATGAGGAGGAATGGGTGGGGAATTGGGGTTATCATCCATGGACCGCAGGAGATTCAAATTTAAAGCTGGCTGGGAAAAAACGATGGGAGAGGATCCCGCGCCAAGAAAATTAGGAGAAGAGGAAGGAGGGGGTTGTGCGTTAGGAGATTGTTGATGTCTATCTAGTAAAGCAGAAGCTTGATTGTCAAAGCTGTTGTGTGAAGCCATATCAATATAATCCTGATTCTTAGACAAAGAGATAAGCATATAAATTATCCAAGTTTATAAATCCATTCCAGAGTGAGAGAGAGAGGCGGCGAAGTATTTGTCGTGCTTCAAAGCTGCAACACCTCATCAAGACCAAAATAAGAAGCGAAGTCGGCGTATGCATGCAAAGTGGGATGACGAATTGATTTGCAGTGGCGCATGCCTAGTAGAACCTTACACTTATGTCTCCACCAATCAGCGACAAAGTGGACAGTGATTGGATGGGGCAGTGTTGACGAAACGCTGCCATTCGTTGGCGCAACTACATGAGCACATTAACTTGTCGTTTTTATGCGCGCCAGGATAAGCGTGGGTTTTCATCACACGTGTTTCGAAGCCTAGCTTTATCTATCGTCAAATCAACAATAGTGTTAATCTTTCACTTGCGTTAGTCAACCGTCTACACCGAACTCCATTTTCTACCCTCCAAGTTATGCAATTTAAATAGTTGGTGTACTCTTTTTATGCAGACGTATACATGATTTTCGGGTAGCTAAATAACAGGAAAAACTCTCAGGTGCCAATTTATATTAATCAGAACATTTTCCTTTCTCCGTTAAATGATTGGGAATGGAACACCAAACGTATCAAATTATGACGTTTCCCGAAGTGCTTGACAAAGATAAATGATGTCTCGAGTTTCGCTTACCAGGTACTGATCGAACATTCATTTGCTTCAAAACTGGAGCGTCTTTCAAAGTGTGTGTACGTAGCTTTTATCATTTATAAATTCGATGTGTGCCAAATAAATTGGCTGTCCAGCTTCCTTGTGCATTGGCAAGATTTTGGACTCTGGACACTTGGCTCCTATCGACTAAGTGTAGAGCGCAATTTTTTTTGCATTTTAGTTCATGTTTTTAAATTCCAAGATATCATGAGAAATTTCAGAATAGCCTATCTTTATCGTTAGACCACCGCATTTATGAACTGTTATTCTACCACTGAATGAATTCTAATTTCTTGGCACAGATAAACAATGGGAAACATTTACAGAGATTTGTGAGTTATTACTCTTCACATGAATCCACTTCAGAATAGCTATCTTTCAGATGGTTGGGCAGTCTATTATAGCTGTATTCTTCTAGTCTGATTTTTAAATCCTGAACAATCAATCCGATTATTTACAAACTGAGTTAATCAAGAGCTTAAAGGGTCAATGACAGAGACATCTCTGATGATTTTACGCATTCATTAAATAAGTTCTCAAAATAGTTCCTGCTGAGGGGAAAGAAGAGTGTAATTTGGAGATTTTGGCCAAAAATATCCAAAGAATTAGATTTGACACCATATTACTGAAAGAAGTCAATTGGGCGCCAAAGAATTTGACAAAGGTAAATGAAAACAAAACAATAATTTACTAAACGACTCTCAGGACGCATGTTAACAGCTTTAAGTGAAATACATACTTCCCTTCAAAAAGAAAGTAGAAATTTGAAAATTCGGGAGATTTTGGGGACGAATATGAAAATTTGGTTAATATCACGGCTTCTGTCCTTTCTCTCTCTCTCTCTCTCTCTCTCTTAACGATAATGTTTTAGTAAATTTGGCACATGTAAGTGCGCCCTGGTATTTCAAAAAGTAGACATAATAAACTGTTGGTTCTTTGGCTACTTTAAGAGACAGACACTCCAAGATGGACAGGACCAACTTCTCAATTTACTATACTATTCGATTGACACGGAATCCTACTGGAACAGAGTGTGGAACAAAAACCGTTTCCATCTCTTTTCTCACTGGTCAGAAAGGGGTTCAGATTTTGTTAAAAAATATCCTCAATAGGCTGTATTAATTATTATTTTAATTTTTTTCTAACGGCTACAACCTGCAATACTGAGGGGTTGTTTCCGCTTGAATTATAAACAAGGGCGTCCTTTATATTGGTTTTACATTAGAACCCACCCTTAACGCGCCAAGTTTGACAAAGTTAGATACCTCTCTTTCAATTTTATTCATCACATAAGCAGCGAAATATGCATATCGCATTGCCACATAGTTAAACGCTTTGTTCATACCGGATTGAATAGGGTAAACAAAAAGCTGATCAGCCTAAATTCTTATTAGAAATACAATTTTGATTTAGCCTAACATGTACCAGCCACCACCATTCCCAAAGTACGTGTGAATTTAATTCTTAATGTAGGTAGCTGTCATGACAATTGTAGAAATTGTTCTAATTCCTATCAACGTAGATTTGAATTATCGTGTAGCTTTTTATTTGAGCAAATATTTCACGATTCAGCTCTAAGTTTTCTGATGTCAAAAGAAAGCAAACACCGTAAGACCCTCCTTCAGAATAAGCTCCATTGGTAGTAGACTCGTAATAGAAGGCACACTATTGCCGTTTGAAACATGTTTAATACGTGTCAATAGCCTGATACCGCCAAAACACAACACGCCTGTGGCATCGGTCTGCTGTGAGACACGCGTGTGAGTGTTTTTGGGTGCATTTTTCAAAAAAAAATAATTCGGTCGTTAAATGGTTAATACGTGATGTCTGAGGATTAAGATAGTTAAAGGTGGTAACTTGATACCTCCTGTGATGTACCAAGCATAACTAATCTTCCCTTGGATGATCCTGATGGGGTTGTGTAATTACGAAATTATATACAGTATTGATTGGTCTTTCCACCAATTAGCCAAGATTTGTTATTTATACCCACAAGAATCCAATACTCTTCTGAAATGGCAGTCTTTAAGACAGAGGTAACGCACAAGGAGTGTAATAAGTAATTCATTGTAGGGAGGCCCATCTAAATGTTCACGAAATCGTATATTTAAGTGGTGAACCCTGGGCAATGTATACTCATACGACAAAAAGGTCTGTAAACCGGCAGTTGACTTCTGACTTCAAACTACCTTCGCCCCACTGTATGTCATATTTCACCACTTCCACAGTACTCACCTCACCTTACCCTTTTTTCTACCTCTATGTCTGCCTCTTTTACATCTGTGAAACACTCACCTGTTCTCCTCTCCAATTTTTTTCACTTGGGTGTTTTCCCTTCTGGTAAACCCGAAGTCAACTTAAGGACAAATGATAACTATTATAATGTACATTTAAATAATTTTTGATGAAAATTGTTTTATAATTTTATTCCTTTATTATTTTTCAGACTCGATTTCAATAACGTCTGATGGTTTGTTGCTTTATTTCTATTATAATTTTAAAAATTCTGAACGGTTTCGAACTAAATGTGTGGTTGAATACTGCTGGCTTCATTGGTCTTTGTTTCGAATCTCTATTCTCAAGTCTATGGAGGATCGTGCTAACTGGAAGGTTTTAACACCTTCCTCAGATAAATATTTGGTAGTAATATCATATAGGCAACCAAAGTTCTATCTAACTTTTTCGTTAATTGTCTTGCTAAACAAACCAAGTGCAGTTTCTTCATATAATCATCCAACATGACCTCTTAGTGTGCAGCTATAGAGATTCGAGGTAATCCAAAAGCCAAAGGCTCTAAATGAATACTCCCC